CTCATACCCAAGAAAAGGAAAAAAATATATGGATTTATGTGTAACCTAATGTTATAAATTTTATATGTTCATATTATATTTTTTATTGTATTGGTACGTCTATCTAAAATAATATCAACATTAGAATATGGCCACATCATTTGAAAAGTGGTAGCATGGTTTTTATTTTAAATTGAACACCCGGTATATTATTATATTTTGGAAACTATGTCCATCATAAAACTATATATCGTCTCATAATTTTTCTGCTACACTAACCTATACCTATCTCTTATATTGTGACGAAAACATCGATATTAAGTACATTTGCTATAAATTGGTTAAATCATAAATTCGTTATGCTAAAATTTGGTTAATACGGAAAAGAAGATACGTAGAAGTCTACATATCCGACCTGTCTAAATCAACTGAACATGAAAGATGCTTATTCGGAGCTAATCATGATTAGGTAATTAACTTAACAAATTCTGTAAAAAATGTAATTAAATTGATGTTTTATTGGTAATAATGTATACCGTATGATTTGTATCGTTTTAATAGTGTCTGTATCTTCTGATTCACTTTATGTGTAATCTTATAATTATCTATTTTAAGTAACTAGATATATTCGTAATAGGCTAGAATTAAATGTTTATAATAAAATTTTGGAAGAATATATCTACTTGTACCTACCTATAATGTTATCTTATCAATAATAGTATATTACGTTCTTAATCATGTCTTTAAGAAAAGTTAATACTTCATAAATTTTTATATTTCAACGGAATTGCTTATAACAAATTAAAATATAATAATTAAAAATTATCTCCAATACTAAAGCCGAAACAAAATATATTCGGCATTATCATATTTTATTAATTTCACTACCAACTGCTGGCGTTCATATGAATAAAACAATACTGAATAGTAGCGTTTTCGCGCCAAAAATATTTTAAATATTCACCACTGAAAATTCGTTTAAAAATACATCCACATAAATAAATTTCATTTTATTTGTTATTTGAAATTAAATTGGATATTTTAAATTAACTAACTTTGCATACTTGCTAACTTGCTTTGAAGTGTACTTTTCCTTTAACAATATTAATGAACTAAAATAAAAATAAGAAATATATGACCGTGTTAAAACTATCAAGAAATATTCAGAATTTTTAATTAATGTTCCAATCGATATTTTCTTTAATAGAAATAATATTGGGACAAAATTATTTTATTATGAACACAACAAAATGTTTTGATGCCAATATTTTCAGTTTATTGTAACTATTCTAACAATTCCATTTATACAAACTCGGTATTTTTCAACAATTGATAGATATAAAAACATGTTTGAAAAAAAAGGAAAAATGAAAACGAGATAACAGAAAAATGTCATCAATGCTAAAAAGTTTTAATGGTTTTATTTTAGCCGTTGACTACTATGCAAGAATGAATATGCAGAGGGCATATCCAATAATACATTTTATGTTTCGAGTGATTGAGAAATCCCTTATGTATAGAAGTTAAACTGTGGTGGTGGAAATATACCGACCTAACAGTGGTGCCAACTTTCTGAAATTGAATTTCCCACGAAGATGGTCAAAACTTCCAGTTTTTTTTTAATTTCCACGAGTTCTGAAATCTAATATAGTGTCTTCAAAACAATAGAGAAATTATGTGAAAGTATGTAACTACGGTCAACTGTGCCCAATATGCATTTTTGTTAAAACTTGTTCATATTAGACCAAAGCTTTAAGGTTTAGGAAATATAATTTGACACTGCCACAAAATTATAAGTTGACAACATATAATTGTGTTGCTATTTACTTGTTTTGCATTGTTACCGGTCCAGTTTTAATTTAAAAATAGATGCAGTTTTTCTTAAATTAGTTAAAAATGGCTTGCCAAAAATTTTTCAAATTTGGGTTATTATTTTACTTATTTCACTTAATATTTTATATTTAAAATAAAAAAGTCGAAAATTCTTCAAAAGAACTTAATTTTTTATATAAATTAATATCTGAGGGATTACGGAATATTAATTATATTTTAAAATAAATTGATTTATAAAGCCTAAAATTTAATTACCAGATAATATTGTTAATTTAGTTAAGCCAAATTGTGTTGCTTTATTCAATTTCATTTCTGTTATTCCATGAATTACGAAAAAATAAATTCATATTTATTTTTGGGATTACCTTTAGCAATTTATTCAAATGAATAAATACCCTATAAAGTTTCACCGAATGGACAATTATTTAAATAGACCTTCGTCATCCTTTATAATAAACATACATTAAAACTTCCAAATAATTTGTGAAGTAACGTCAATATTTGAATGAAAATTGGTGTCTAGGAGTTTTTTGACATGAGAAATTTGATTTTGATGTCAATATGACTCCTACTTGTAGAGGTCGCTACCTACAAATTTTTTAACCGGTTTGAAGGGTAATACATTTTCGTCCGTACCTGTATAAAACTACTGTGTAAAAAATATACATTTACGACGTTTTATTTACGTAAAAAAGGTCTCTTGGTAAAAATCGCTAGAGTAATGGTTCTCGAGATATTTCGAATTTTAATTATTCGAAATTATCAATATCTGTGACATAAATTAAACATCATTGACATAAATTAAACATGTTGACTAAATAGTTATTAGACTGAAATTATAAATTTGAAATTTTTTTGTGCCAAAAGTTCAGCAGAAACTGTTTTATCATCTTTTTTTTTCGCAGAAAAAAATATGATTAAAAAAATATTTAAAAAAATAAAAAATTACCAAATTTACAACTTCAGTCAAATAACTATCGACTCAGCGTGTTTATTTTTTGTCAATAATGACATGTATTGACTATTTCCATTCTAAATATCTTGAGAACAGTTGCTCGTAGACCGTTAAAACACGTGTAGGTGGTTCCCCCTACAAATAGGAGTTATTGACACCAATACCAAATTTCTCATTAAAAAACTCACAGACATCAATTTTCACCCATATATTGTATTAGAAATTATTTGGAAAAAATCGAAATAAAAATGAAGCTTCCACACCCTGTATCTCCGAAATTAAGCATTTTCACACATTTATATGAACTTTTTAACTTATTTTTATCTGCAGAATATTGTGCCCAAGTTTCCCGAATACAGTTCGGACCACCTTGTATAGTGAAATTAATTAATATTCATTCTTATTTTGGTAAAGAGGTATCTACAACGAGATGCACAGCCTTTCCAACCGTTATTTCTATTTCCTCCGTCTCAGAGGTTCTTGAACAGACTGAAACTAATAATATACTCCTTCTCTTTCTCCGGTATCCATATCATCCACGATGACAATCAAATATACACGATTTTGATACCTTGATTATTTAATCATTTAGAGTCGAATGATGTTCTACCAGGCAACCGATTACGATTTATTCTATTGGTCTTTTAATGTTTGATTTTTCCGTGCCATTTAACGTCACATTCGCCTTCGCATAGGATTCTGGAATTCCAGTGATGCCAGCTGGCTAATGTACGAACGAAAGGTGATTGTTACATTTCCCTGGTGCTAAGCGGTGCAAAAACAATTTGCTGAGATCGTCCCTTAATTGTAAATTTAATTGAGATACCCTTATTTTTTAAAAAGTTTCTCGTAGGTATCTTTTATTACTTTAAAAATTTATGTTTTCCTTATTGCTCTTATTGTTACGTTTGTGTATTTATTCAGAACAACATATTTGCAGTTTGTTGGGAGAGCTGTAAAACTTGCTCTCGAACTTGATTCCAAGGAGGTTGCCTAAATTTACCACCTCTTTGGGAATGCGTCCTCTTCATATTTGTATCCTTTCTTTCTCACTTTTTGATTTCCGGCAATTTCGATCAGTAGGGTTTTTTACTCTATACTCTAAAAGAAAAGGTTGTTAAACACCTCAAAAATATTCTGTCCAAGTATGAGCTCTTAATTTTAATAGGAAGGTCCTCTACTTTTCAATTTTCTATTTTTTCCTTATTAATATTTTTTTAATATAATTTTTTTAGTCGTTATTTACTCGAAATATAATGTATCATTGACTCTAAGCTAGTAAAAATGCAATAATTTTTTATTTCAAAGTATCCATACATGCTTTATGCAATGCTTACAATTTGTGCAAATTTTCCCGAAACACATAAAATAAATTGGAATTGTTCGAATTATTAATCAAAAACTGTTAAAATTATTGTGCATTGAAGTTTGACGATGAATATCTTTTAAACGGTTAATTTAATCGACTAATCATAAGAAACCATTTTTGTAGTGAGTAGTAGAGTGTTAGAGTTTTGTAGTGTTAGAGTTGTAGTAGAGTTAGAGTTGTATAGAGTTTTGTAGTGAATTTCCTACAAAACCATGAGTTGCGCATATTATAATGAATTTTTGCTAACGAGTTATAAAATTCATAATAAAAAAGATATCTGCCTTAAAATAATCAACCTTCATTAATTTGCGAATGGTGAGGTTTACAAAAAAAATATAGGACACCTTCTTTGTAGGAAATTCAATTTCCTACAAACACGTGAGACGAAGATGTTTTCCCAAATAGTAGACACCGAGATATGAATTTTTCTTTCTAATAATAAAGGAAAAAATAGAAAATTGAAAGACGGATGACCTTCCTATTAAAATTAAGAACTCATACTTAGAGATTACTTTTTTGAGGTTTCTGTAAATCTCTTTTTCTAGAAGGATTATAAAGTGAAAAAAATAGTCGATTTTTTTGACCTACCCTATTGATCAGCCTTATTCCTTGAAGGTGGTAAATTTTTAGCATACGACAATTTTTTGATGAAAAAATATTGCGACAATATGAAATGAGCTCACGAATGAAGTGACACGCTTAACCTTTCTCTAAAGGTCACAAAATAATATGTATTAGATTTCAGTACCTCTTCACTACCGGAAATTGAATCGAAAATACATGCACGTACGACAAAGTTCTTGATTTTGCAATCGTATATAAACCAAACATTTAAATTACATATTTTAGTCGGTGATTCCGCTTATAAAAAACACAAACAAAAACTTATATTCAAACCTCTAGTTAATTATAATCAACAAATATGAGTTTTCTTTATGTCATTTTCAAAATAAACTTTTTTACTGTTATGGTATTAGCGTTGCCGCCTATTTATAGCGAACAATACGCGAAAGTTCGCTACCAACCTGGAGACAATAGGGATAAAGCCGAATTGAATTTGGAACAACGGGATAGAGAGGAAGGTAGGAATCCATTAGATCTCTTTCGAGATGAGATATTTTTAATATAATTTTCATGCAGTAGGGGTGTAATAATATTAAAATATCTGAATAGAAATGTGACTTTAGAAATTCCATTTAAAATGAACTTATATATCCATTGTTTATGGTCTCCCTTTTATAAACTAACAAGATTCGTCAACTTATTTTCATATCGTCCTATTGCTGGCAAAAGTCACTAACTTTCTTTTTATTACTTCCGAGAAAAATGCGTCTAAATATGAATTGCATTGCATAAAGATGTTATAGTTAGTAACTATTTGGTATTAAAATAAAACGTAAATAGCCAGAAATCGTAGTTAATGACTTTTGCAATCGATTCTCCGCTTCAAAACATAGTTAGTGATTGAATTTGGTTGTTCGGAAAAATGTTAGTTAGTGACTTTTGGCAGCAATAGAACGATATGCAAACACACACCAAAATATATCCACTAAAACAAAATTAAAAAGAACTTTTTATAGATACTTTAGAAACACAGTTCGAAATTTAATATTTACACCCCGAGTATTCTTTTAAAACTGTTAAGTTTAATTTTATATTTATATTTTAATAATAAAATTAGTCCTTCAATTCATTTTTTTTGTTTTTCGTTCCACCCGCTCTTATGTTTTAAACCACCATACCTGTGAACCTTTTCGTATAAAATGTACGTGTCTAAAATATAAATAACACAGAAATATATACTTTCAAACAATTAAAAAACTAAGTAATAGTTAAATATTAAAAAACGTAATATTTAAATGAAATAATTTTTTTATAATTAATTATTATAATTAAAATGTATTCCATTACAACAATAAAATTATAATAATCAGAAATATTATATTAATGAAGATAGTTTGTAAATTAATTATAATTATCTAATTTTGAATATATTATAACTAATTATTAAATAGATAACAGTCCCAGGTATGAATATATTATATTCCTGCAGATTTTAACGTGTGTAAAGGATTATAGAAATACATATTTTAGTGACAAAATTTTGCCTAGATTTTCAAATATTGAAAATCCTTTCATACATAGAAAATGTCGAGTTAATAATTTACGTTGTATGTAGAGGGTGGGTCAAATTGGACGCTTTTAAAGGGAAACACCCTTTTCTATAGGAGACAGACGAAAACTAATATCGGTGTCTGGAGCTCAATTTTTATCAAAAACATGATGGTGAAAACCGCACGTCGATATCTGTTACTGTTTATGAGTTACGGGGTGTTTTTCAAAAATGTGCATATTTAACAAATCGCTGTAACTTTTTTGCTATGGAAAATTTTGTATTTTTATGATGACACTTCCAAAGCACCTTTTTACGTAGAATTTAATGATTTAAGTATAATATTTTTTAAATTAATAATTTAAGAATTATCAATAGAAAATTTGATTTTTTATATGGGACACCCTGTATATTTTTAATTCATTGAAAATAATTTAAAATTACCTTTCCAAAAATATAACATACTTGATATTTTGCTCGATTCCTCTTCGAGATATAAAGTTTTTAAAAATTCGCCTACTTTGAATAAGTAGGCTGTGAACCGCGCCGTAATAATGCGGCTGTAATGCAAAAAAAAAATTGTAGCTGTGAGCAGCAATTAAAATGAAAATAATATTTGCAATGAGAGATTTAGAATTTTATTAGAATTTAAACTATATTTAACAACATCAAGACATTTAAACTATATCTAATAACAATAAAATTTAATAGCAAACCAAGACATGATATTTTGCTGCAGGTGTTCGACATAAATGTCTTCTGTTATGGACAGACGGGACCGTTTTTGAACATTTCTCGCGGAATTCATTAACTCCATAGGGGTGAAAGATACCCTCGCATAACCGCTAAGTACTTCTAATTCTTTTCTAGATTATAGAGACAATTTAAAAATAAGAACTTTTATTCTTTCGTAAAGTAAAAAATCCATAGGCACAAGTCCGTCGGCCTCTACGGCCAACAGCTGGGATCTTGGTTAGCTAATCGATTATTCTCGAAATGGGCTGCAAAAGTTAGCTGATAACTTCAGCGTTCAGCGGTGCCTCGTCTTGCTTGAAAAATATGTTTCCGAGTTCCACTAGGGGCAGATCATCAATAATGGGTTCAAAGCCTACTAGTTAAAAGAGACGAACTTTTAAAAATTCTGTATTTCGAAGGGGATTATAACAAGATATCAAGTGTGCTATATTTTTGGAAAGGCAATTTTAAGTTCTTTTCATTTAATTAAAAATACACAGGGCGTACTAAATAATAAATCAAATTTTCTGTTGATAACTCTTAAATGATTAACTTTTAAAACATTATACTTAAACCATTAAATTCTACGCAAAAAGGTGCTTTGGAAATGTTTTCATAAAAATAGAAAAATTTTTATAGCAAAAAAGTTACAGCGATATGTTAAAAATACACATTTTTGAAAAACACCCCATAACTCCGAAACTGTAACAGATATGGATGTGCGGTTTTCACCATCATGTTTTTGATAAAAATTGAGCTCCAGACACCGATATTAGTTTTCGTCTATCTCCTATAGAAAAGGGTGTTTCCCTTTAAAAATGTCGAATTTGACCCACCCTGTACATTATTTTTATTTTTAATGACAATTATATAATTTATAGTTAATAAAATCATTATTTTTTATCTTTGTAATCTTGCAATGTGGGTATGCAGTGTGTGTCTTTAAAGTAGAATAAATTCATTATATCAAACACAGAATTTAAACAAAACGCTTGAACATATCAATTTATTATTTTAAATTGCTCATATTTTTACATAAAAATTATTCCTACAGAAAGCAGATATTTCTACATAAATGTTTCCAAAAAGAAGATCGGGGAATAACATTTCCAGATTTAGTATAAGCTTCTTCTAAAAACTGAACGTACGTCATTTAGATTATGATTAATTAATATTTGACATAACATTTGGTAACCAATAACAACCGCCCAACCGTTGAAGTAACTTCTTTGGCCATTGTGTATAGTCCTCCCTTTTTCAGAGTTTACTTTTATATGTCCATTAACGACAGTTCTGTCGGTTTACCTGGCCATTCATAATAAAAGCTAAATTGTCAAAAAAAGTATGTTTTTTGGGCTCACAATCATCTTTTTGTATTTTCTTTCTTGTTAATTTAATCTACTACCTATGCCATATTATCAAGAAATTATGTTTTTAACTAAAAAACTAAAAAAAAATCCAAATTTTCAAGAAATAAGCCTCATAATCGTTTTTCTAGGGTCGAAATATACTACCCCTAAAAATATTTGCACTTATTTAAGACTCACCCTGTATAGATAGATAATATAGAGGTAAATTGTAAAATAAAAGCTTAACGTAATTTCATTCATTTGCAACAATATATTGTATCTTTATAAAAAATCAAAATTTTATAGAACAGTAAACAGAAACGCTATTTCCTTTAAAAGCGAAAGGATTTACTACTGAGCTAAGAGCTGCAGCTACATTTTATCTCTTTTCTCATAACTTAGAGTTGATAAGAACTCAGATAAAACTCTAAAGTCTAAAGAGAAAAGGCTCTAAAATTTCGGTGTTTATTTAAACGACTTTTTTGTGAATAAAGGATAAAGCTTTTTTATAGCTTTTCCGAGAAAATGCAATTGTCTTTATTTAGATGACTACACTTAAATAACAAAATACAAATAAGTGTTCTATATAGTTTTTCATACATAGTTACAAAATTCTTCTGTTGAATAGATTTACTTATTACTATTACACTTACATAACGTACATCTGTTTTTTTTTCTTTTTTGCCATGGAATCCCTATAAAAAAACTTTAATAACAATCCGTACTAATATAAAATAAATTGTAATCCGTATTTTTTTCTCCACAAAGATATAATCCAAGAATTAATTTTAGTCAACCCAACAAAATCTCCCTTAATAAACAGTATGTCCCCGGAACAGAATTGTCCCGGAGTCTTTACAAGAGTAAAAACTTTTTTATTATTGACATTTTAAGAAAAATAGGTACATTCTTCATAAGAAATTTTGCTGGTTCTATAATGGTTAATCCCGTTTATACTTTTCCAAATTTTCATACCGTTTTAGAGAAAATTGAAAAAAATATGAACATATGTTTGAATATGTTGATGTCGTAAACATTAAAAGCGTTTCTATGGGAATATAATTTCGATTTCATGCTTTGATAGATGGTTATTATTAATTTTGATTAACACCACATTTTTTGCTGTTGTTAAAGTACTACATTTTCCGATAACTATTATCACCCTTTCCCTAGCATTAAACTATATAAATTTTGTGTTTCTTTAACATTTTAAAGCAGCAAAAAATATTCCGTTAATTAAAATTCTATCAATAACAATTTATACTCTGTTTTTTTTTCTCAGGTAAGATTTCGACAGACGATAACAGAAAATTATCATGACGTCCATACCAATCTATTTATTTCACTAAAAAAAGTTTCTAACGTTTTATAAGTTAAATATAGCTGGGTTTATATATAAATCCGTCGTGCGTCGTCTCTTGTTGTTTTTAACCAGTTTTATTGGTTTATTTCAAAAATGACAGACCATATTTCAATATTATTGAATTGATGCAGCGATGAACGATATACGTACGCATATGTGTATGAACCCGACTTAAGATTTTTGAGGCTTTTCAAACTCTTGCCAAATTATAGGTTATAATTTTGTGTCAAATTTAGTCAAATACCGATTTACGAATTGCTTTTGAATTTTGGTTCGTGTTATTGGTTGTGTGTTTTGTGTTTTTTGAAGTTAAGTGGAGGAACAATAGAGGGAAACTTAACTGTAGACCCAGACCACAGTTTATAGCAAATTTAAAGTTAATATTCGGTGCCCAAACTCCAGACCAGAGAGTTTTATACACAAATAAAGTTATCATCAGTAAAGTCTTCTTTTAAGACCATCTTGTATATGGTACTAAAAACTGGATTAGGCTGGAGTAGCTGTAAAATAACATCGCACAATGGGTAAATAATATATTTTAGTACTGCAGAAACAATGTCAAAAGATACTGGTTAAAGTTAATTGATCAACTTAGGTATGAAATTCAATTAGTGTTATTATTAATAACATATTTTGTTTTATTTATGTTCTTTTTATTTATTACTGTGCAATATTACTCTTTTTACTTGCACATAAGTTATATTGATAAATAATATAATAATAAAGGCAGGACGTTTTTTTTTTCACAATATTTTGAATATAGGTATTCAATTGTACCAACTTATTTCTTTGTGAAATAAAATAAACTACTTTGAAATTAAAACGACAGACACATCTATCACTGTCAAGGATTTTGTCGTTAGACAGACTATATCAAAGAATGAAAACAAAATTATATTAACATAGAAACGCGTTTTAATCTTTAGGAAATGTCAATAATAAAAAAGTTTTTCCTCTTGTAAAGACAATCGTGGAACATACTGTATACTATTGTGTCCATAGGCAGTCAATAATTTCTTAAAATTGAATAAAAAAGGTTTAGAAAATCTTTTGAGAACATATTATTAGTAACTATAATAAAGTATCTATCATATCCAAGAGAATTATGTCAATCATCATTAGTAAAGTAAATAAAAAAAAGATTAAAAAAAAATCAATTAAACTAATTTAGCAATAACAAAATATATTTTGTTACTTACCAATTATTGAAACAAACTTTGAGAATTGATTAAATATTTTTTACCATCAGATGTAGAATTTACAGGGTTGTTCACCACATTCGACTCGGAGTATTGTAGCTAAACGATTAGATTTTCACAAATTGTAAGTTTTGGGTTCGTTGAAGGTCAATTAGAGCTACAATTTAAAAATATTTTTACAAGATACAGAGTGTCCCAAATAAGTAAAAAATATTATAGTTATATTTTTTTAAATGGAACACCCTGTATATTATTCTATTTTTGGATTCTACGATTGAAATAAAGGTAAATTTGATTAAGGTTTATCACACTTAAACCTTACCGTTTTTGAAATATTTTCAATTTTATAAAATTGCAGTAAAAATTTTAAGGCTTTATTTCTCCCAGGGTATCAAAGTTTTTAATACCAAATATTTACTGAAGATTATTTATTGATCAGACATTGTGTTGCAATAATAAAAATTTTGCTACCTTATACAGAGTATCCAAAAATTTATATTAAATAATTACTAGCTTTAAACGGCAATAATTTGTTTAATTTAAATGGAACACCCTATATATTTTACGTAAATCAGATGCACAATGTAATTGTCTATCAAATTTTATTATACCATTTTTTATCCATCTCTTCAAGTTTTCGTAGAAAATGCATTTTTTTTATAATTTAGGCCACATTTATCACTATTCCCATGGAATATTGACATTTCAGATTTTTTTATAGCACCATAATATGTACAAAATGTACAGGTGGTAAATATTGTTAGCCCATTGGCATACAAAATAAACTATTTAAATATTTATAAAAGAGTATACTAATTAAATATACCATCATTATTTCCTACCAAAAACACCAAAAATTAGTTAATTTCATACTTATAAATTGTTTTAATTAAAAAATTATTCTAAATAAATGTGGATTTGGCTCAGAAATCAATATAATAATAAGTTATAAAAATGAATGTTTGTGTTTTTATAAATAAGCATTGGTCAATAAATGAAGTAAAATTTATAAGGTGTTGCTTTGTACCACACAGTCTAATACACACACAAAATTCAGTTTTAGTATTTGGAGCCATTATTACTACAACGTAAACAGTCAAATAATGTAGTTTGAATACTGGGATCATATTAATTGGTCCTCTTTAACAAAAAATATTTAAACAGTTTTTTTTATTTTTTAATTAAATAAGCGAACTAGGTATATCGACAATATTAGTATCTGTACCCTTTGAAAATTTGTTATATCTTTAAAAATAAGCTAAAATGTCAATATTCCATGGGTATAGTGATAAATGAGGTCTAAATTATAAGAAAATGCATTTTCTATGAAAACTTGAAGAGGTGGGTAAAAAATGGAACAATACAATTTGATAGACAATTACATTGTGCATCTGATTCACGTAAAATATATAGGGTGTTCTATTTAAATTAAACAAGTTATTGCCGTTTAAAGCTAGTAATTAGTTAACATAAATTTTTGGACACTCTGTATAAGGTAGTAAAATTTTTATTATTGCAACACAATATCTGATCAATAAATAATCTTCAGTAAATATTTAGTATTAAAAACTTTGATACCCTTGGAGAAATAAAGCCTTAAATTTTTTACTGCAATTTCATAAAATTGAAAATATTTCAAAAACGGTAAGGTTTAAGTGTGATAAACCTTAATCAAATTTACCTTTATTTCAATCGTAGAATCCAAAAATAGAATAATATACAGGGTGTTCTATTTAAAAAAATATAACTATAATATTTTTTACTTATTTGGGACACTCTGTATCTTGTAAAAATATTTTTAAATTGTAGCTCTAATAGTCCTTCAACAAACCCAAAACTTACAATTTGTAATAATCTAATCGTTTAGTTATAATACTCCGTGTCGTATGTGGTGAACAACCCTGTATAATTTTTTACATTCTACCATAAGATACAATTTTATTAGTGGGAAATATATTTTGTAATTAATAAATATACTATCTGCTTCTAAAATTATTTTAGAGATATTTTACTACCTGAAGTAAACAAAAATATCAAAATTTATTAATATTGTGAGTTTTTTGTTAATTAAATATGTACACAATTCTTCTGTTATATAAAGAAATAATCCTGAACAAAGTATTTTGCCTGAATAGTATCGTTAAGCTTATCGTACCAAACTTACCTATAAAGATAATATTAAATAATAATTGGTCTTCTTGAATTACAGAACCAATATAAGAAACATTTTTTCCTTATAATACACAAATGGTTAGATATTACTTTGATATTGACTTATTCTCCATATGCTTCCATAACGTTCGTTGTTACGATTACTCTTTTTGCCGTTCCCCAATATTTCGTCTAGGTTTTATGCAAAATTATCTGTTTTTATGAATATATGGATACGGCTTAGCGTATATTGAAATATATGAAAATTTTGAAATTCTAATTCACAGATTAATTCAGAAAGTCAATTTGGTTAATCCTGCTATCACAAACTCTATTTTCTTTAATCAAGTAAAACTGTTTAATTTTTTGGGTTATTTTTGTTTTTTTTTTAATATTATTTCTTTGATGCAAATATAATGTAGTAGTACACAAACTTCTGCACTTAAATGTATATTTAGGTATGTTTTAATCAGTACGTATTTAAGTTGATGTTTTTTAATCAATACGTTTCTTAGATGATGTTTTAGTATTTTGGTATTTCGCCACTTATACTGTAAGAAAATCTACAAAATGAGATAGATATTTTTGTAAACACCGCTGCATTAATCTAACCAAGACCAAGTTGTCAGCGATATTTTACTAATAAAGAAATTTGCCTAACGGACAAAAATGCTTAAACTTTCGTCTTAAGCATTTTTTGCTATTAGGCAAATTTGGTTTATTAGTGAAATACCGCTGATAAATTGATATCCCTTGGGTTAGCGCAGCGGTGTTTACAAAAAATTACTATTTTATTTTATAAATTTTCTTACAGTGCAATTGGCGAAATACATATTGGATTTTTTTGCAGAAATGAATCCACCACAGACACATAGGCATTTTTTATTGCATTCATAAATTAATATAATATCTCACTCTATTCATTTAACTATTTACTGAAATCTAATTTTCTGCCAATATAAATTATTTTTTAGTGACGGAGAAATTACAATCACATTCAAGTAGCGACAAGTTTGCTGCTGTTGAAACTTTTGAGGTAGCCACAGAGCCAGAATCAGAACAAATTAATATAGCAAGATTTATTCATACAAATATACCTAGAGATAAAATTGTTGAAGAAAGACTAGAAGAAACGACTACGGAAATCGAGTTGGTGGAAGAATTTTTACCCACTCAAATTAATATTGAAAGTGCTAGTAAAAAAAGTAATGACGAAGATAAAGTAATTAGTGAATATTCACAGAGATCAGAAATAGAAGATTTAAATCACCAAGGTAAATTATATGTGTAAAAGTAATTTGATATTTCGAAATATCATAAATAATAATATGTATTCATTTTGACATCTAAGTACGTATGTCTGTTATGAATTGAACACATTTTAATTTTGTTTTTGATTATACTATTTTTATACAGGGTTCGGCAATAGGTGCTTCGGGCATCGGTAGCTTCTATAATAAAAAACATAGGAATTGTGTATAAGTGCAAACCGTAAGTAACAAACACTCACTATTTTTTGAGTCATCCTATAGAAGTTAAAATATTTTCCTGAAATATGTACGTCCTCTTACATACTCTAGGTTTGCACTTAAACAAAATTCCCAAGTTTTTTATTCTAGGAGCTAGAGATGCCCAACGCACTATTGCCGGACCCTGTATAGAGAGAATGAAGGGTCCATAGGAAAAACATGAGTAGTGCCAATTTCTTAATTTTAGTTTCTTAATTTCTTAATTTTAGTTTTGCAATTATAGTAGGTCTACAATGTTAGTATGTCTACAATGTACAATATTATAGTAGGGCTACAATGTACAATATTATAGTAGGTCTACAATGTATGTAGTAGATTTACAATATTATAGTAGGTCTAATTAGTCCCTACAAAATGTATAAACTCTGCAGGGCTATAAGCTGTTAAATCCTATGACATGGCCTAGTATAATTATTATACACTTTTTTGTGCAAGAGGAAAAAATCTTCAAAAGACGCATGTGCGTTTTTAGGTTCCTATGATATATAATATAATCTATAATTATTATAGAAGCAATTTTCAACTGAAATAATAATTAAAAAAATATAATTGAACATCAATTAATTGAATAAACATTTTTTTATTATTTTATTATTATATAATTAATATTTAATTTTTAGGGCCTTACTACATATATCATCCAAACAAATTTTTCCAGAAAACCGTTTTTAATATGGAAGAGTATTTGCATCAATTAAAGTTAACACCCGAATTAAATTTTGTTCCGATATACGAATCTGTGTTTACTTACGATCCAAATACGTTTGTATTCCAAAGATTACATATTAGGTGAGAGTGGTAAAAATTAGGATTAGCATCATATAAAAATGACTGAAAAATAATTTATATTAATTTATTTTATTTAAAGTTGCCCTGTACTAGTTATATTATCAGGTTCATAGATACAAAAGTCACCATATGGGTTTAAGCTAGTTTGACAATGAGTAAGTTTAACTAACAAATGGCGGACAGAAAAAAAATTGTAATAAACAATTATTATATTAATACTTGCTACCAATAAATATCAAAAGTATTAATTTATAATATTCCATTGACCGTTGCTACAAATCAATATAAACTTTGAATCCCTAATAAATAATATCTAAAACTATTATGCCGAAATATATCTTTCCTAAACAGTGATTTTTGCATCTAAAGGGTTCAAATTAATAATTTAAACATCATATCTAGACTAGAATTATGTTCGACATATTATATGTAATGTGTAATGTGTATATATAATTATGTTCATTACTTATGATAAGATATAAATAAGGAGCAGACTTACTAAAATGCATTTTGTCCATTTTTTAAGATTTTCAATTAAAGGTGGCGTTGCAAACTACATACACAGATTTAAAATATTATGTCAGAAACGACGTTCTAAATTCATTTTATCCCGTTCTAATTAAATGGCGAAAATACCTTAGGCTTTCTATGTGCTGTATGTCCATTGGCGGTAGACAAACAGCAGTGTCCTTTTGTGCTGTGGACATACTGCTGTTTGTTTGTCATTGCTAGATGAAGAGTGTTTTTTTGAACTACAAATTCTCTCTTTCTCTGAATGGAGCGACAACTGGGGACCATGTAGTTGCGAATACGGACCGTGGTAGCAGAAAAATTTAAGAGAAATTTTACGTCTAAAGGACATTCCAATAGTTTTTTTCAGTTTTTTTCAAATATCATCAAAACTATATTTTTCACATGTAGGTGTACTATTTTTATAATTTTTTATCCATTTTTTAAATATACCTACTAGTTTTTCGATAAGTTTCTTGCAAAAAGCTTAGCACTTTTCCTTTGTTTGCCAAAATTCTAAAATATGGACAAAATAGATGCATTTCATAGAAAGTCTACTCCTCAAATATTGTTAAGTATTTTATTATGTTAAGATTAGATATCTAGAGGTAGAAAACATGTATTAATCAATCTATGTATACATATATTAGGAAAAATGTTTTTTTTTCAAACGTCACAAAAGTATTAATTTTTGCGACGTGATTGACAATATAAAAAGTAATTTTAACGCCTAGGCATAAACACTTTTACGCGTAAGCACAAAAGTACGAAAATTTATTATTAAACCGACATAAAGTGTCAAATTCAACGAGCATAACCATAGTTTGTCAATATATAATTACTTACAAAGTATTACCTTCAAATATTTTTATGTTGCAACGTTTAAAATTGTTTAAAATATGGAAATAAAAGGATTTCGGACTTATCAAGTGTAGTTTACACTTGATAGTGGTCAGTGATCCTTCTGACGAAGTCCGAAATCTTTTTTTTTTCAATACTGAATCATTGTCTACCACATTCAAAAAATGTTTAAAAAATGTTTTGTGACGTTTGAGAAATTTTATTCAATAAGTTAGTTATAAATATTGTAATACGTAAAAGTGGTAAAAAATAAATAGACATTTTAAGTTAAATGGAGAGTGAGCTATTTCCAAAAATCTTCGTTAAATTGTTGATTTTTTAATAAAGAATACACCTTGAGATTGGTAGACGAGAGCCTGTACCTCTACGCCACCGGGCACCTTCTATTTTGGATATACCATTTTAGATTTTAAATTTGAATTTGAACGAATTCAAATTCAAATTTTAGAATTTGAATTTTCTCACGAATTTCGTAAACATCCATTATGTATTTCACTTAAAAAAAAATAAATTTTACACGAGAACTGTCACGAGAATCTATAGCTTTGTTCGGGTTCGTGTTATTACCGATTCTGAACCGTCCTAGAATTCTGCAGCGCATGCGCAAATGAAATAATGTTTTCATATTTCCTTCTGCGCATACTCATCATAGTTCTAGGACGGTGCAGAATCGGTAATAAGAGAAACCCGAATAAGCTATATGTATTCGTTTTGGCTATTAAAACACGAATAAATACAAATTCTGAAACATTCTTATCACATATCTACCTACTTTTATTTTATCGCATTTTTTCGCCTGATTTTTATCCGGCGGACGGGTATACGTTAATTTGTCCGGTTCTGCCTATGTACTACGGTGGTCCGGTCTGTATACAAAATCCAATGTATTTTTCTGTCGATCTCGCAAGCTTTACGCAGAAGGGCAACGGGCCAGTTACGTTAAAACACCGGTCCCTAATAGATCACCGGAGTTAAGCGACGGTGGAATGATACGAGTAGATAGACGGACCACCGCACAGTGATGCAGAAGTTCCCAATAGCGGCAGAAAATCAAAATATCACAAGTATTTTTTTTAATGATAATTTCACTCGTATTGTTCCTAATAAAAGTCCATATTTTCAGAATCGTGAAGATTGAATAAAAACGGACCCATTATTAATCTCTGATAAGAAATGTGCGAGCTTATAAGATTATTAGCTAAAGCTAAAATTCACTCAGATGCAAAAAAACGCAACGGAGAAAGTTTTGGTAAAATTTGAACTGTTATATTTTTGTTAATTTTAGCCCTATTTTCATGATTTTTTTTTAGCAAGTTGTATATAATTATATCAGCTTTAATTTGTAAACTCAGTTTTTTATAAACTTTAGTATTTGGCATATTATACAGGGTTAATGGAGGAGTTGTTTTCTTACCCTAACTTTGACACACCCTGTGCAATTATTTCGTGTGTAAATTTTCCTGAAATATAATTTCAGGAAATTCATTTCATAATTTTTAATGTGTAATTTTAACTAGCTTTTCCCAGTTAAGCCCAGCTAAGTTTTTATTCGTTTTGTGCTTATATGACATTAAATTTAATATTATTAGTAATCTCATTAATTTTGAATAATTATTGTTAATATAAACTACAAAGACGTGTCAATGTGTCTATAATGCGTCAATATTCAGACAACAACTTTTATCAAGAATGTCATGCACCTTCTAGATAGTATTTTTTTCGGATATAGTAAGATATCACCGAGACTTCTCCTGTCAAGTAAAATAGAACAGCATCCTGAGGCTCCAAAACTTATTATAGATTAAATTATTCTATTTTTTATCCATTTGCTAAATCCATCTTAAATATATTATCCATCTTATCTAGAAGCTTTAGGATAATTTTTTGTTTCTTTTTCTTGCGCATTAAATTCTTGTAACTAAGTTCTAATTATAATTTAAGTATAATATTTTTACCACAGGTAATTACAGATATTTCTAAATTATAGAACATTTAAAAATATAACTAAAATTAAATGGTTGTAAGTGAACAACTGCTTTCATATAATGCGAAAAGAGCGCTCAGTCTTTTAGATGTTTTGGTGTTACTTTCATTAATAGCTAACTACATAAAATATACAGAATGTATTTTTTTTTCCTCATGGAAATGAATGTAAATATCTTTTTTAAGTTGAATTTAAGTAATACTTATTGGTAATTAGTTCTGAAAAAAGGATTAATTATATTAAAAACGAAATACTAATTCACCGTACATTATTGTAAGGGGCTGAAAATAAAACCCTTTATATTTATTTATGTGTTTACACAAACTTTTTTTTGATTTTTAAACTTTACAAAGAATAGAGTATTAAATTAATATGCTATGAAAGACAAAATAATATAATTTTGGGGGAGTACATTTTTTACCCATTTAATATTTTTTACATCCAATTTAAGTACACTCTGTATACATACTTCAGTTTTCTGAATTCAAAACATCACTTATATACTTAGAAAACCACATTTAACAAAAATAACTTGAAAAAATGTAGTAGTAAGTTTGAGAAATAATTTTTTGCCACTTTTCGCGTTTTCTATACATATACTAAATGGCAGATCATGATGACGGGATAGCCTATATCCCACCATAATTTAATTGAAGTCTGTCCAACCAGTGGATACATTGCTGTCATTTCATTTTAATTTACAGCTAAATTGAATTTTCTGCCATTTTTTGGATGTCGTCTATACAGAGTGTTTCAAAAAACATCTCTTGTGGGGAGATTCCTCACGTAAAAATAAGATATATTTTTTTTCATATCAACATAGGGTCCGATTCTGCTTTGTTTCGTACCTACAAGAAGTTAAAGTCTTCATTTTTTTCGATTTATTATAATTTACTTCCAAGTGCTTTTAGTGATTTCAATGAAATTTTTAGGATAAATGTTCCTATGCGGGTTACATATTTTAGCCCTGAAAAAGTTTCGACAAATTCACCAGAGATGTGCATATGGGTTATCAATTAAATATTTTTACAGCAAATTCAAATAAAAAAATAATGGTATTTAAAATAACTACAAAATACCTAATTTTAAAAAGTTTTAACATCCTGTAACCCGTGTTTATAGGAACTTCTTTCCATCTTGTTTGATGGGGAATCAATGAATGATAATTTAAGACGTTCACAAGTTAATTATTTTTTTTATTTTTTTTAAAGATTACTATTAGACTAGAATAAACTGACAAAATATCAAGAGTCAACTTTTAATCGGCATTAAACGGCTTACACTATTTCGCTAACAGGAGAAAAAAGTCAGTTGCGTACCTACATGCCTTTTTAGAAATATATTCCAGTGATATATGCACGTCCCTGGTGAATACGTCGACACTTTTTTAGCATTAAAACATGTCTCACTTATACTAACTTTTACTTGAAAGAAAATTATAATAAATGTAAAATATATTAAAACTATATTCCCCTGTAGCTACAAAACAAAGCAGAATCGGACCGATGTTGATATGAAACATAAATCGTAATTAAAAATTAAGATTTCTTATAATAAATCTTATTTTTACGTGAGGAATCTCCCGACAAGAGATGACACATATTTTTTGAAACACCCTGTATAAATCTTTTCAGGCAGACTTTATTTGAAGTTTTTTGCTTCGAACATTTATGGATCGAAGATGCACAAGAATGAGACGGACAAGTGATGAATCGAATACATTGGATCGTAATCAGGATGAGTGCTTCTCTCGGTCTGGAATATAGAAAATTGCAAATACACAATAAGTATATTTATGGCTGTAAACTCGATCTATATATCAATTAGTACTCTTAATAATTAGAATAATTAATTGATAAAATTTGCTTATTACTCTAATGGCTTTTATTATTAAAACCATTGCATTGGTTAGGTTAGGTTAGGTTTGGATGGCAGTAGGTTCCACCATTGTAAGTCTACTGCTTTGCGAACGGCAATGGGTTCGATGACCAGTCGGTACTGTCGCTTTATTTTTAAATAAAATTATTTATTTATCTAAATAAAGCGGAATGGAATGCAATAGCAAACCATCTTTAGTACCCCCCCTCCATTTGCCTAGTACAATCTCTCAAATAAAGCCATTCGAGTTCAGCGATAAAATGTAGGTGCTGTTGGCTGGTGAAACACTGATTAGATTAAATTAGATTCTTCAAGGTGACATACGCCTGTTCCACTGCATCCTTTTCATATCTGTTGTGGTCCTCTTCTGATCCTTACATCATATCCTTCTCAAAAAAACTTGAAGTATATAATATATTATAACTGATGGCCTATCATTGTCTAGTAC